ACTCTCCCTCCATGGGGATTATATTTCAGGAAGCAATGGCGTGCTCCAAACCTCCCCCTCCCCACCCAGCCCACCCTGCCTCTCTGTTAAAATGCCACTCAAGACTGCCACTTCATCCCAGGTTTCCTAGTACAGGCTGAGTGTGCAGGGGGGAGGAGGGAGCTAAGGGAGAGCGAGAGGGAGACACCGGGGCTGCAAGTCAGCCCAGCCACTGGGCAGGAGGCGGGGGCCTGGATGTGATTTGCCTGCAGCCTTTTCTGGGAGGAGGGGTTTTCCTTTCCCTGAAGAGCCCTGCTTGCTCTGCCTTGCCTGGACGCTGTGGCTTTTTTCCGTCAGCGCTGGACGGGGCAGCCGGCACTGAGGGAGGTTGCTGCTACTCAAGCCCCCCGAACCCGATGGATTTCGGTGCTGTTTCATTAGCGTTTGAGAAGGCTCCCCTTGCATGATTCTGCGCTCGGACCTCCTGGGAGGGTCACTGCCGGTGGGTGAGCGAGAGCGAGAGCAGGGGCTGTGGCAGCTACCACGGATGGACGCGGGCTGTCGGGCATGGATGCCGTCCCCCAGCGCTTCGTGGATCAGAGGAGAGGTCGGCCACACTGTCCTGCCCTGGAGGTGCTCTGTAGGCCCTATCCTGTCCCGACACCCCGGCTGACCTGCTGACGGCTTGGGGATGTTGAACCTCCCTATGCTGGATCTGTTACTGTCTTTTCTGTCTCGCTTCTCACTGTCAGCAGCTCATTTATGCAAATCTTTTGAGAAGCAGAAGGAAATATTTTTGGTCTGTGTGAGTTATTACCATAACAAAAGGTAAGTGCAGTAAATGCTATTTTGATGCGATTAAAGCAGATCTGATGTATGACGAGAACTACCCTGGCGTGTCTCTTAATCCTGCTTAAATCTCAGAGGATTTTAATGTAGCAAAAGGTGTTTAGGGTAATTTACACAAAGTGTCTTTCGTAGTGCTGTGCGCTTCCTTCGGTTCCGTATGCACTGTGAACGTATAGCGTAAGTGGTACTGCTGGGTGTCAGCTTGGACGATGTGGGGCCTCTTGCCGGGCTGCGGGAGACGAGTTGATCGTTCTGCAGCTGCTGCAGCTCCGCCTTTGGTTAGGTGATGTACACGGAACTCCAAGAGAACCACAGCATTCAGGCACTTCGCTTGCTGATGTCACGTATCTATGTTCTTTCTTAATGCACATAACCTAAATCGAGCCTATTTATCGGTTATATACTCTAATGATATTTCTCCCCACTTATGAATGGAGATTTTACGAAACACACATACTGCACTAGACGATCAGTCAGAAAGCTTTCCTGAAATCTCCTTCAGGCCGTGCTTCAGGAAGTGTTACACAAAGCAGAAGGAAGCCAAAGCAAGCCAGCAGCTCCATCGCACTCTCGGCCGAATGCTCCCGTGTTTGATCTCCGTCCATCTCCATTTCAGCCCGGTCCCATTCTGCCAAACGGGAGATTTTTCTGTTTTGTGCGTTGTTTGGTTTGAAGGTCTGTATGAGGCCATATCAGTTCACGATCGGGGCTTAGATTCTGCAGTAAGGAAAGCATAAAGGATGGGGTAGTACCATAGGGCTGTGTGGTGGCTCTTATGTTCCTCTGTAATATGGCTCCCTACCTCAGCTGGTGTCATGGTGGGATAATTATTTGCATGATGTCCAACACTCTGATGGTTCTTTATTTTTATGCAGGTGGGCCTCTGTACTGCCCTCTGCAAGGGTTTTTTCAGGGGTTTCCAAGTACTGTGCATGGATATTGAGCTTGTTTCTTGGGCAAGATTTCTGACAAGGTCATTATGTTCCCAAGTTGAGTTTGCTCTTTGATTCCTGCTGTCGGGCCATAATGTGTGCTGGTGCCTTGCTGAACATGTCCACAGTGCACGAAAAACTGGCAGTTAAATGAACACTTAAGCGGGTGGGATTGGACCTGCCTGGCCTGTCCACCCCCAGCTCTCTGCCTTGACCTTTGCCCTCAAGATTAGTCAAGGGACCCATTATCTCGTCCGTTATCCCAAGCAAGCCTGTCTCGTCTCACAATGAGGTTTCTGCCATCTGCTAATCTCCCTGTGGTAGGACTGGAGGTAAAGTGGGGCCACAAATCAGCCTGATTCTGGGCTCCCAGGGGTAGGGCTTCCGGGATCAACTGATCGCTCATTACTGTGGTACTCATTATGGCTGCATCTGAAGACAACGGAGAGAGTAGGACAATGTGGGCTCCACCCATAATACACTAACTTTGATATTTTTCATCTACTGATTCCACCCTCAAAGTCCTCTTTGCATGATTCTTTTTTACACTCAGATGTAAGCTTCAGCATATTACCGGACTGTTTATTTCTTATGCCTGCTGGACATTCCTGATGCTGGATATTATTTCTGCAGGTAGTTTGAGCCTGTTTGCTGAAGAAATACTTACACAGCTTTTTATTCTGCTTTTTGGAGCAATTTTGGGACCCAAGTGGCCGATGACCTGACGAAGTAAGATCCCCTGGAAGCTTTAAGAATCGCTGCCTGCTCTGACTCGACTTGCACTGTGTCTGCCCCATCAGGGCATTTTACAGTGAGAGAACCCAGTGAAAGCTAGGCTCCGTATAGTGTGTGCGGAGTGCTCGACTTGCACTGTGTCTGCCCCATCAGGGCATTTTCTTCCCGAAATCAACTCTTGCTGTTTCCTCCTGCATAATGATATCACTATGGAAACATCCATCTCCTCAAGGGTCCATTATAAGCAGCTGATAGCGTTAAGGTGCCATTGCTGCTGGCTGCTTTAGAAATGCTAGCGTTTAATCTGCAGGAGAATCTGTTGTTTCATAACCCCAGTGATACGTCTTAACCAGAAAAACATGATCCAGAAAGCCAGTAATAAGACGGTGTAAGAATAAGGAACTATTCTCATATAAGCGGTGTGTTTGTCCACAGACAGGGATTGGGGTCACAGGATCACGCATGCCAGGCTTTATATTTAGCTCTGCGGAGTGAAAAATGTGTTTGGGCCATATAAACAAATTTCCAATAACAGAATTTGTTTTAGATGAGTCAGCTTTTTTCACTGCTGGTCTTTGGGGCACAGAATGGATGGAAACGATAGATTTAAATTGTATGATTATATATCAGATCTTTAACTGCTTGTTTTCTTGTCCCTTGTCTAATAATTTTGCCGTAGGGACTGCATTCTCATGGCCGGCTACAGACCGCTGCTGGTCACATGCAAGACGAGACCTCAGGCTTCTGGTTTTCCATGACAGATTTAGCATGGATTAGCCTCTGCATGTTTCTCAAAGAAGGTTTTCATTAGTCTGTTATAATAAGTCCCACACTGCTGCAGCAGCCTAGGGGCCTGTGGGCCGTCCCTGTGTAGGCAGCTGTGATTGGTTGAGTGTGTGGGCTTCTGCAGAGGGGTGTAATTAAACATTCCCTCTGTGTTAATTAGAACCTTCTCAGACTTTATACTGATAAAGCTGTCAACCTTTTACCTGTATAGACTACATACTACATGCTGTTTGTATGTCTTTCTTGATCTCTGCTCTTTTGAGTTCCCGTTGGTTACACTCTGAGTGTTGGTTGCTCCACTCGCGCTGTTAACACAGGCCGCATTAGTGATGGCTGCACCTCCGATGGCCTATCACATAGTCAGTGACCTCTGACTCTGTATGGATGTCAGATTGTCCTCTTCATGCATGTCCCAGTCTCTGACCATCTGCTGCACCCCATTTGGGGCGGCCCATGTCTGTAGTTTGCTTGTTTTGCCTAGGAGATGGGCTGCATGTTAAGGTGAAGTGGGAATGGCACAGAAGGGGGCAGACTTGGTCCCGATACCAGTAGGCTGTTTTCTAGAGGGTTCTCCACTGCTGTACTTCCTGTCCCTTTTCTTTGGTGGCCGGTGACTTCACAAATTACACACATTAGAGTTGGAAAAATGATATTTACAGATAGCTGAAGAATCTCTGCACTCATGGCTATGAGCCACAACCCCTTTTGTTCTAGTAATCATCCACCTTAGATGATCATTAACTCGGTCTCATACGTTGAAGTTTCACCTGCAAGTCATCTGCTCATTTACTGGAGTGGTTGTGCTTTTACTTCTCCCAGTTATAGCAAAGCGCTTCACGGCAGTCTGATTACCCTCCCTGATGGCTGGCGGGGCCTGGATGGTCTGCTGGAGTGAGACTTGAACAGCCCTTTTGAAATGGGTGATTGACATTCTCTTGGGTTGTTGAAGGAACCCGGAGCTTCGGTCTTCTGACTGACTGAGTGAAGCCCTCCTTTGATCGCTCATGATGGAGAATGATAACTAGCTTAGCTTAACTTAGCTCAAGTCTCACTTTGCTGTCACTGTAGGGCAGAAACGTAGTGTCCCACTTGGACTGATCCTGCAGTTTTCTCCTTGGTACATTTTTCATGTACACCATGAGCGCTAATATAGGGGTATAGTGTTTGTACTCATTTACTGCACTTATTAAGAAGCAGCTCTTACTTTATGAAAACGAAACACTTGAGCAGTATAATGAATAGTAACCCCTGGAGCCAGCTGAGGCCACATGAAGAGGATGCCTGTGAATTAAAGTATTGTGTTCTTGTCACAGACACTTCTGTGTGGAAGGTGGCAGCTGTAAAACTTGGCAGCCTGGAAGATCTTATCTGTTCCCTCCAGAGTGACCCAAAACTCTATGAATCTGACCCCTCCCTCCTTTTTGTCTGTAGCGGTCGACTGCTCTCGCCCTCAAAACATCCGTTGTTTTCATGCAGAAGATCAGAGACCTTTTTCCATGTTCTCCTAGTGAGGTAACTCTCTTGGATTTGGCACTTTAAAGTGGGACTGATAGACGTTTTTAGGTACCGTGTAACTTTGTTTCTGCCTCAGAAGGATTTTGGAATTATGGGTGATTTGTATTGCCTGTTTTATTATGCCAACAGGTATGTGTTTTGGAGAAACGATGTATAATTTGCAGGCTTTATCCATAGCTAACCACAGTGTATTCTCTTTGGCAGGCTTGACTTGTGATGTCTTGAGGCCGTCTCCTGGGGCCCCTTGAAGGAGGTGCTGCAGGCGCTGATGGGAACTGCTGCTCCAATATGAACCTTCATGATGTCGGAGTTAGGCGACGCTTTGAGGACCCAGAGTTCACCCTGCGGATCTACCCGGGAATCATTGCCGAGGGCACCATCTACTGCCCTGTCACGGGCCGCAAGAACACCACAGCGGCCGAAGTCATCAGCCATGTCATCGATAAGCTGCAGCTTGACAGGACGAAATGCTACGTCCTTGCCGAGGTGAAGGAGTTTGGCGGAGAAGAATGGATCCTCAACCCCATAGACTGCCCTGTCCAGCGCATGATGCTATGGCCCCGCATGGCCCTGGAGAACCGCTTTGGCGGAGAGGATTACCGCTTCCTGCTGCGGGAGAAGAACCTGGACGGCTCCATAGACTACGGGAGCCTGCAGATGTGGCTCCAAGTGACGGAGGAACGTCGGCGTCTGGTCGAGCGGGGCTTCCTGCCGCAGCCACCGCAGAAGGACTACGATGACCTGTGCAACCTGCCCAACCTCAACGAAAAGACGCTTCTGGACAACCTGCGTGGCCGCTTCAAACAAGAGAAGATCTACACCTATGTGGGCAGCATCCTCATTGTCATCAACCCCTTTAAGTTCCTGCCCATCTACAACCCCAAGTACGTGAAGATGTATGACAACCACCAGCTGGGCAAACTGGAGCCGCACATCTATGCGGTGGCCGATGTAGCGTACCACGCCATGCTGCAGAGGCGCCGCAACCAGTGCATTGTCATCTCCGGGGAGAGCGGCTCAGGCAAGACGCAGAGCACCAACTTCCTCATTCACCACCTGACCGCCCTCAGCCAGAAGGGCTTTGCCAGTGGGGTGGAGCAGATTATCCTGGGGGCCGGACCTGTGCTGGAGGTGAGGAGGCTGCTGTTTGGACCAGGGTCATAGAATTGGGTGGGGGTGAGGCTCGTCAGAGACAGGCATGGCCCTGTCCCATTGCTCTTCCATGTCCCCCGAGGAAAATGAAATGCTTGTTTCATTGGTCGTGACATGTTGGCTAAGTTTGTGCCTCACATGCTAAATGCTGGTAAACAGTAAACTTCAGTAACTAATAGGGCCGGTACAATGGGAAGGCAATGCGATGCTTTTGTGCAGCTGGTGGTCCCGTATCTGCTCATACCACAGAGATTTAGAGACCGTGACTTTGCCTTTTCATCTTATGTCATGACTGTAGTGGCTGAATTTGTTCAGAGTGTTCAGGCAGACATTAAATTAACTTCCAGTGAAGGATGGCGTTTGGTATGTATGAGATTGTGAAGTAGAAAGCCTTTTGTTCCCACTCACTACTGGTCTTGTTTTGGGGTATATTTGGGATTTGAAACCATGTTTGGCCACAGCTGTTAAGTTCATATTTCTGCTGCTCTTTAGAAAAACTCATTGCTGCTTAATCCATTTGAGCTTCGGTTAAACAGAGGCATTCCTTCCTTCCGCACTGAACCACTCAATTGCTTACACACTTGACGTTTGATCAAAAGCTCAGGAGGGGCAGTGCATGGAATTTTCCCCTTGCTGAGGAGTCCTGTATTTTGATAGTGTGTTTACTGCTTATGTTGTCCTCCTGCTGCCCTATGCTATGTAGCCCAATGCCCTCCTAACTCCTAGCTCTTTTGCTCTGTTGGTAGTTGCTGGTTTCCATGTCTTTGGCGGTGAGGTTCTTTTTATGAGTTTAAGTATAACTGTAAGAGCAGCAGTGCATTCAAGATAGCTGGGCATCTGGCAGCCATGACTTTGGCTGTATGAATTGGGAACACAGAGGTTTTCAAGCAAACACCAGGAGTGTGAATGTTTTTTTTTTTTTGGTGGGGAGGGGGGGTATAGCCTCAGACTCAAACAGGAGCATGCAGCCTGCCCTGAACAATCCTGGGTTTGACTTGGAGGAACCTGGTCTGATTTGGCCTGAGCCATTGTGAGGGAACTGGTTGTCTCGCTTGTTTTACCTTTGTCACCCGCTCTTATCATGTATGCAGTCCCAGTCTCTCCAGTCAAACATACACATTCTTCAGATGTCATTTACTTCCGAACCTTCTCAGAAAGATTTGATTTAAAAATGCTGTATTTAGTGATTGAGTTGTGCTGTTATCAAAGTAAAACATAATAGTGGTTTCTTTCTGGATTCAACAGTACTGTAAAGCTTTCCTACTCTGCTGGATGAGAGCCAGGAGCAGATACAGGGCATCTCTCTGGGGTGGGAGTGAGGCTCTGCCATGTACAGTATTTGGTGAGCAGGCTGAGCAGCTTCAGGAATGCATGGCAGCTGCGTTTTTTTGGACGCTAATGTTTAAGTACGTGGGTTAATCTCCAACTGAGCGGCACAGTTGAGCGGTTTCTCTCTATCCTTCTCCACACGTTTATCTCCAGTCGGACCGGACAGCACGATTGGCATGTGTGGACGCTGCGCATTGTCGGGTCACATTCGCTACAGCTCATGGGGGTCTGCTCTGATGGACAGCTGTCTGGTCAGCCACACTGCCTAGTTTGTCCATTGTTTCCAGGCTTTGGATGTAATATGAAATCCTGGCTGATATTGGGGATAAGCATTTCGGGCAGGATTACTAATTGAATTTTGCGAAATCGAACTTTGTTTTTTTTTTGCCAATGGAATCTGCCTTTATTGGGAAAAGCAAGTTAGTAGGTCACACTATGCTTGTCTCTCCAAAAGTCTTATTTAAAATTTTATTAAGAGCAAAATTCACAGAACATGAATTTCAACAACATTATTAACTGTAACCATGACAATGTACATAGAAAATTATCCCCAGGAGCATAATCAGATTCTCTTATATCTGTTGCCACAAGTTGTGCCAACAGACACAAAGCAGTGCTGAAAAGACACTTGGTTTTGCTCAACCAGGATATTTCCAAACAGCGAAAGATGATTGTCTTCTGGTGATCAGTTTTTTTTTTTTTTTGCCTCACTTATTTTTGTTTCTGACAAACGAGCCTCACTGTGCATGAGCAGGCAGGACATTGGTTATGATTGGCGTGACGGGTACATGCACATGCAGAGCTCACACAGAAACAGCAGAGGCAAACTTCCGAACATAGAAAATATCAGAGTATGGTTAAATCACAACTGATTATATTACTGCTAAATAATAGTTAAAATGGCTCATTTATTATTCTAAGATTTCATTTTTTTTAATTTTACATGTTCTCAAAAATGTGAATATTCCACAGTGCTGACTCATCCCTAAATTACTGTGTAATTTTCACTTCCTGAAAGGCCTCCGTATTCTGCACATCTTCCATAGTAATCTCCCCTCTAAATTTATTGCATTGTAAGTGAATTGACAGTCAGAATATTGGTGTCTGCATTTGTCATCATTTTGGCAATAAAAGGCTGCAGTGTTCTGTCCCACAACCGTTGATGCCAAATGCTGCTTCAGCAGACATTCAGTCAGGACTAAAAACAGATTAATTACATATTACTAGGGCTCCACAATATTGGAAATTTTTCAGATATTGCAATGTGAGTTTTTTGTATTGAAAATTATTGCAATATTTATACAGCAAAAAAAAATACCCTAAATAAACTTTAGTCAAATATGACTTCTTATAACGGAGTCTGTCAAATAATTTTGTGGTATTGCTGAAGTCTAAAGATTATCACAATGGTCCCGGGTGAAATATCAATGATAAAAGGGAAAAACGATAAAAATGGAAAGACAATAAAATACATGAGTACTTCAGTTGTGATCGTTAGTGGTTAATCTGGTCGACAGTGTAGCGACACATGCAGCTAGAGAGTCAGGGTATAGAAGGCATGTGGAACGTCACGCTGCTTTGATTGTCTGCTATACAAACCAGTGAGGTTCTGTTCTCCTAATTCTCTTGAGCGTCTCAGATAACATAGGCATTTTTCAAGTCCTCTTAAAATTTCAAACATTGAAGAAGAATGGCATCAAGAAAAGCAAAATTAATATAAAAATTAACATGATTAAAATAACTAATTTAAATTGACATGACAATACTGCCAAAAGATGAGGCACCAGAAGATAGGAGGCTGGACGAAAAGGCAGTGGTGGAAGGGGCAGTACAACTGATGGGAGAGAAGGGAAATCTCCTCCTCAAGTACAGAAGCCGGATATTCCAAAGGCAATGAAAAAACAACTCAGACGGAAACCAACAGAGCTCGATTTCTGCCAATGGTCCCCGAATGGACAGCAGTGAAATATTTCAGACCAAAGAGCTTGGTCAAGGAGCAAGAGGGACTGGGCATACCCCGGAGAGGAGTCAGGACATGCAAGGAGGAGCCCGCTGTTGGCCTTCCTTCAGAGGGTGTGTCTGGGAGATGCAGAAGACAACAGCTCTTAATGGATCTTACCGACTGTCTCGGTATGCAAAGTGGTGAAATGACTCCAGTCACTGGACTCAGCTAAGATGCACGTCCAGTTTCATTTAACCACCTTTGTCTCTCACCTGCATGTCACGCAACTTCTTTCTGCCCAGGGTGCCTTTGAATGTTGCTCCAACCCATCAGCGTCTATGGTTCGCGGCCTTGATTCTCACCCCTGCCACCTCTCCCAGCTGATGGCCAGGTGTTTCTAATGAACATGAATCTTAATTCCAGCTGCCCAAGGATTATGGAGAATCACTGTCTTCTGTGAGGCTAGGGTCAAGAAAGTGGAGGAATTCCGAGCAAAGACAGTCTTTCGTTTTCATGCCGTGTGCTTTTAATCTGTAGGGATGCAGGATTTTCCAGGCATTTTTTCATTGGACTGGTCCTGCATAATGTGAGCCGTGGTGTGAACCATGATGTGGGTCATGGTGTGGGCCGTGGTGTAGTCCTTGGTGTGGGCCGTGATGTGATCCTTGGTGTGGGCCGAGATGTGAGCAGTGATGTGGGTCATGGTGTGGGCCGTGATCTGTGCCCCTGATCGACTGCCGGCTGTTTTCCAGAGCGATGCCTGCTTATTCATGTCTGTGGCAGCATCAGTGTTCCGGATCCTCTTTGGAAATAGACTTATTCCTGCAGCTCACATGCATTTTTAGCTGCTTAACTGGCGCCTTTACCTAAGCTGCTTACAGTCGAATCCTTGTATATAGCCATCTGCCTCAATGAGGAACGGGAGGCTGGGATCTGGGAATATCATACTACTAAGGTGTGTGTCTTTCTGTGTGTCTGTGTATGTCTGTTTGTGTATCTATTCTCGATGAATCTGGTTTCAATCTTGGCGGATACTGCCAGCTTATATTTAAACTTTATCACCGCTGAGTTAGCAGCATCCGAGCTGAAGGCACAACTACTAAACCATTAGCCACTCTCTGTAGTGGAAGGGGGATTTCATTGCTTATTCACCAATAGGATTATCACTTTCATTCTGATGAAATAAGGGATGTAACGGTTACTGATTTGACAGTCCGAAAGTAAAATATGGGGTCAATTGCATGTCCTCTTAGTTCAAAACATAGATCATTAAATCTACCCCGCAGATCTGCGTATCAGAGTAAAAAATGATTAAACGCAGCTAATTCGTGTCAGCCAAACACCGCAGCCCCCCCCGCGCCCATGCTAGTCAGGCAACTCAGCGGTTGGCAGGTCATCAGAATCGGCGATATTAGTCAAACATACATCGGTTTTTGGTCTTGGTCAAAATTTCCATATTTCTGCCCCACTAGTCATTAGCCTTCTGTCCGCGTTTGTGCAAAGGGAGCGTAGCCCGTGAAGGATTTCCTTTTTAGGAGAAGGTTCCTAGTTTGTGTGTTTTCAGGATTTCTCAGAATTCTGAGTGGTGGGGTGAGGGGGTGGTACCTTCATGGAGAACTTTCCCTCATTATGCTGTTCACAAACCAGGCTCATCCAGGCAGCCATGTTGGGCTGATCACTTCGACTGGACCTCTCCTGTACCCCCCCT